CCACGAGTTTGAGACCCCTGATGTATGGGTTGTACAAAGCAAGATATCTGAGGGCTTCAGGAAACATTTTTCACAATTTTCTAATCAGTTAATCAAGAGAACATCACTAATGACGACCAACGAACCTGATGAATATAATAGTGAAGTCCTTGTTGCTGGTTGTGGTTCTGGGACCGAAAGGATTCATCTATAAAAAGTGTTTGTTTTGTCAGCAAATATCCTGATAATCATCTGAGTAAATTATTGATTGATTCGAGTAATCTAATCAATGCAAATGTTCACGTTTGAGAAACAACAACCAGTGAATTTTCTGTATTTTTTTCTTAACAAATCAACTAATTGATTCTTCAGGTCTTCATGTTATTGTTTAGCGTGTAATTTAGAAAAGAATAGAGCAATTAAATGACAATGTGTTCTTTAATTTGTTGTATTTTAATGAGATGCCTTTATTTTGGTGATTCAAGCTGACAGTGAATCATCAGCGCCCTCTAGTGGACAAACTACAGTATGTGATGTAAACAATGACCCTTAACTTGTCACATCGATTCCTGAGGTGACGTTTCAGGGAACCTATTGGGTCCTTTAATAAGCCAAAGTTGATCTGATCCTTTTTTTCTTCCTGCAGCCAAACCGGACCAGAGCTCGGCTGCTCTGGGATACTTCATCACTCCGTGCGTGGCCACTCTGGGGACGCTGCTGTGCTACCTGCTGCTGCCTCACCTGGTCAGGAACTGCACAGCGACACACACTTTATACAAGGCCCTGAAAACTAAAAGGCTTTTAGGCTGAAATTTACTGCAACACCAGCTTTTGTAGGATTAAGCAGAAAACATTTCAGAAGCCGACAAAGTTTGTTGTGTGATGACTTAACAAGTAAAACATCCCTCTGACAGCGTCGACTCTCCTCTGCAGGAATTTGCACGTTTTTATTTGAACAGAAGTCAGTCTGACGACGTGGAGACGACGAAGGAGCTCATCGGCACCACAGGTCGGCTCATTCAGCTCTGTTTGTCTACGTTAGACGGTGAGAAGGGTTTAAGGGTTGTTAATTAAGTCGACTGTTTTATTTGTGTAAAACAGAAAAAGGCTTGAACAACAATCAGAAACACTTCCAGGCCAACGGAGGGTTGATCAGCGAGCGGGAGGAGAGTCAGGAGCGTTCCTCCGTCCTGGCCGTCTTCAAGAAGGTGAACATTCATCTGCTGGAGGCTTTTAAAAAATGTATTTTAAACATCTTTGTCCTGGTGGTTGAAAACATGGGGTTTGATGATGACACCGTATATACGTACCTCTTTCTGATTGTCAACACTAAAACTCTTGGTGAGAGTATGTTTATTTTTTTATCTATGAGGTGTCTGATCTTTGTCGGTCGTGATAATCCTCCCGTCTGTTCACAGCCTAAAGTTTCTCCCCTTTGCAGTGACTGACGAACTCCTTCCTGTTCCTCAGATCTGGCTGATGGCTCTGTGTGTGACGTGTGTGTTCGCCGTCACCCTGTCGGTGTTTCCTGTCATCACAGTTCAAGTTCGGACGGTTTACAAGGACAACGCTGCCTGGAGTGAGTCAGCCCGGCAACACATAGTGTTGAACAAAGCTGGTGGCATCAACGAGATCTTTATGTTCAGGGAGAAACAGACTCTTTGAACTATGATCCCACCTCTAATGCTGTCAGTGTGTCAAAGATTCCACTGAATTCATGAATTTGTTGGGTTTCATATGTTTTTATGGGGTTCTTCGTCAGGTTCATCTCCTTAATTATTAACACGACACAGCTGGTAGCTTTGATGTGTTTTATAGTTCGGTAAAGTGGTGTTTTAGACATTTTAATCTCTAATAATTCAATTACTCCTGTCCATTCATATTACAGGGACTTAACCACAATGTTTTATTTTGTTAGATTGAAAGTTTAACACCAAGGATTCAAGGATTTAAGGTCTTTATTGGTCACAAACACAGTTATACACGGTATGACGCGCAGTAAAAAACTTTGTGCGCCTGTTCCACAACGCAACAATATTAATAAGATCAGTGAGACTAAAGAAGACAAGAAATAAATAAATATATATGAGTATATACATATATAGGGAGAGAGAGAGAGAGAAAGCGATAAAAACAAAATAAGCAAAAATAAATAAATCAAATTTTCAAACAGTGCAAAATGAAATAAAATGAAGAAAATAATATTATATAATAAAAGGTGGAAAGTGACTGGTTGGATTATTATTATTATTTTAGATTTAGTAGATTAACAGTCGACTTGTTTTCAGAATTTAAAACCAGTGATTTCAGGCATACAGCGTCGTGTCATTGTAGTTTTATCTGTTATATGCACCGAGTCAGTCGTGCTCTCTGTGTTTCTAACAGACAAAGTGTTCACCTGCGTTTGCTGCTTCATCGTCTTCAACGTCATGGACCTTCTGGGTCGCGGCGCCCCGTCCCTCGTCCAGTGGGTAAGTCTGCAGCCTGCCTCCACAAACAGCCACACTGTTACCAGAGTGGATGATCTGCTGATAAATTGGTGTAGTTGCTATAAAAATGTCTTCTTTATCCGTTAAAAGTTCTCTCTTTTCTTTCAAATGTTAAAAAAAAAGTGGAGTGAAGAATTAAAGTTAAATTTAAATAAGAAGCATATTATTTATAAGTATATTGAGGGTGCAGATATATTGATTTTTGCATTTATACAGATGATCAACAGAGTGCAGGAGTTCTGAGTTATTGTTCTTATTTTGATCCGTAGCCTAAATTGTTTTAGCTTTTTGTAGCTGCAGCCAGTAGATAGAATTTGCTGATGCAGTACGTGAGCCAAACACAAATGTAGTATATTTACAATCAACAGAAAAAGTTCCACTCATGCTGAAAACGTTCTGAACAGTCACCCTGATTACTCTGCTGATGTCTGTGCAGCCGTCCAAGGAGAGCCGCTGGTTTCCAGCTGCTGTGTTTTCTCGCCTGGTCTTCATCCCTCTGCTCATGCTGTGCAACATCCAGGGATCCAACCTCACCGTCCTCCGTCACGACAGCGCCTTTGTCGTCATCATGGCTCTGTTCTCCTTCTCTAACGGATACCTGGCCAGCCTCTGCATGTCCTACGCTCCACAGTGAGTCTCGTCACCGCCTGTGTTTTCTTGTCTTCCAGCTAACATGCCAACAAATGAAGCATAACACAGATTTAAGTTTAGGTTGAGATTGTCACATTTGTGCTATATGTGCTGGTGTGGTGTAAACACATGGGGCTGACTGGGGAATTGGGAACATGTGATGTGAAGTTTGAGCCTAGCTAGAAACGATGTGAGCGGTTCGGCTACATGTGATAAAGTCGACTGTCGTGCGTCTGTCTGTCAGGTTGGTGCGCTGTAAGGACTGCGAGACCGCCGGCTCTCTGATGACCTTCTTCCTGGTTCTGGGTCTGGCTGTCGGAGCTTCCTTCTCGTTCCTGCTGGGAAAGCTGGTGAAGACGACTTGATGAAACTTTAATCGTGACTGACTGGTGGAACACTGGAATGAAACGACTCATTTGATGAAACAGCTCGAACACAAACCAAGTACAAGCACTTTGAGTTAGCGCTGTTTTTTTTGTTTTTTTTAATTCAGAATTGTGAAAGCATTATTTCTTATCTCGATCAACACACCTACATCTCAGATGACTTCTGTAGTTACTGATCGGTGCTTTTATTAAAGCTGGAGTCGGCTGGAAAAGTTAAAATTTGAGCATACGTCCCTCCGACTGCAGGTCTTCTGTTCCTTCTGCTCATTAAACAAACCTCACAGTCAGCATTCACCCGTGAACACACTCCTGAGAGCAAATCCTCCGTTTAAACCGCCGTAGCGTCGCGTTCTACTTTCACTTTTTAAACCTAAACCTCACCTGATCTGGGTGTGGAGCCCTGTGATTGGCTGAAAACGAAGCCAGGAAGTCTGGTTTCCACTCGGACCCATTGAACTACAATAAAAATTTTGCCAATTTAAGCCAAACAGAAAGGGGGAAGAAACCGCCTAGCCGAGCTTTAAGTTAATACAATCATTAAGTTCCACGTCAGTCTATTTTGTGTGTTTAAAGTTTTCAGCTTCATCCATCCATCTTCTCCCGCTTATCCGGGGTCGGGTCGCGGAGGCAGCAGCCTGAGCAGAGCCGCCCAGACTTCCCAAGTTTTCAGCTTTTAGGCTGTAAGTCTCCTCCTTGCCAACATCCACAGCAGTATGAGTCTCTGCCATGTGAACTCTGAAAGGGTTTGTAGTCTGAAGTGGCTGCTGGCAGTGACTTAAACTTTGTGTTGTGGAGT